GCAACATGCAACACATCGAGAGAGATCTGGTGACTACTCAAAAAATAAAACTGGACTGTGACCCATGCATGTGTCACAGTCCAGTTTTATTTTTTGGGTACCCAAGAAATAAAACTGGACTGTGACGCATGGATCACAGTCCAGTTTTATTTTTTGGGTACCCAAAAAATAAAACTAGACTGTGATCCAAAAAATAAAACTGGACTGCCAAAAAAAATAAAACTGGACTGCCAAAAAATAAAACTGGACTGTCAAAAAAAATAAAACTGGACTGTCAAAAAAAATAAAACTGGACTGTCAAAAAAAAAAATAAAACTGGACTGTCAAAAAAAAAAAACTGGACTGTCAAAAAAAATAAAACTGGACTGTCAAAAAAAAAAATAAAACTGGACTGTCAAAAAAAAAAATAAAACTGGACTGTCAAAAAATAAAACTGGACTGTAAAAAATTAAAACTGGACTGTGACCCTTCTGCGCCATCGTACACGCAGCATTTCTTTCCAGAAGGCGGCCTGAAAAAATTATATTGCGTGTAGCTCAAAAGAAACTTGAAAGTAATGCTGCCTTGTGTCTTAAATTGCATTCTCCTCAATACTGGATTATTTTCTTTTTGGCCAAATATGTAGAAACTAGAATAAAGGAGAATCTTCTAAAGAACGACCCGAGTTTTATTTTCAAGATCCTCAAATACTGACTCATTTGCCGCGCTATTTCCCTCTCACCCTTGGTTTTTATATCGACGAAAATTTGCTCAGCCCTCCTCCCCTTGTGGACAAAACGAGCTACAGCTCACTTCATTTGCTATTCCTGAAGATTTATGTATCTGAGAGACCCCACAAAAGGGGACTTAATACATGTGGAGATTTATTTTGTTTGTCCATGTTTACATATTTTTCTAGATCGTTCGATACGGATGTTTCTGTTAATTTAATTCATTTTATAAATGATTTTCTTACTGAACGAGATGGTAGAGTGTTTAACATTCATAACGATAAACTGGATCTGATACAAGTAAAAGCACAGAAAATTCGTTTGTTTACATCTAAAATATTTAGGATTCAAAAGGGCTCATCCAAAGTTTTATTTCTAACCAAACTAGTTTCTTCACTACTTTAACGTGCGCTCAACGGTAAAGGGCTAACATTATAGTCATCTCATTTCAGAAATATCGCAAGAATCAAAACGACCCGGCTAACTTAACTGACACAACGAGACTGAACATCGATCTACTTTCATCAACTCCGTTATACTAGGTGACTTCGCATTAGCACACATCAATTGAGACTTTCTTTCTCAAATATACAGCTACTCATTGACCGATTGCAATTCAACTGCCCACACATCGCTGGCACCACTTGGATTAATTTGTGAGGATATCTTTCTGGAGTTTCCTCGATCTGCAGTAGATGGAAAGACGGTGTTCATCTTCCTTTTAAATCGCTCTCTAATCTGTCGGTTTTTATGAACGGGCAACGAAGTATCAGTTGCTGAGCACTCAAATACTTATTAATGTCAAAAACTATAAATACTTCCATGTACATACTCCTTTTTTTCATGCCCTTACCTGGCTGTTTCGCACACAATGAAAGGCGAATATTAGGAAACCCTAAAACACAAAGTTATTTCAAGATCAGACTTAATTTTTAGATCCCGGTAAGCAGTATGAGATATTTGATGCAGGGAATCTATTATTGCATTTAGTTTCCTTATAAAAGGTCATTAAAAACGGGTATAAAAATTAAATACAGCAAGTTTCATCTGATGAAAAAGAGAAATATTATCTGATGGTTGTGAAAGGGCTTGGTCTTAGAGAATAAGTAGCCTGAGCAATCAAATACGAGTACAGAAAACTGATCTTCGACAGTTTTACTCCAAAGCTCACCTGTGTAGAGTTAAAGATGGTGGAAATGTAAGCAAAAGCTTTGTGCACTGGTAACAAAAGACCAAATAGCCACGTAAAGCCCAACAGTGAAATCATCACCGCGCATGTTCTTATGCCAAGTCTGAAGAACAACAATGACAATGTTTAAAATGTGGAATGGACGTTCATTTGCTTCACATGATTAGTTAACATTTTCGATGCAGTCGTACGCCTCATTCTTTATTATTAATTAGAGAGGAACCCAAGCAGATACCCCAGAACTGTCATTATTTTACATCCCTTGAGTAGTCCCTTAAGAAACTGTGTATTCCTCATCTTGTTTTACCCCAACTCCATTCAATACAATTGTTTGGTAAAACGTTAAGGTTTTTATCCAACCTTATCTGCTGAATATGGTTGTATTCCCTCGTAGATTGTACAAGTGTGCTCATCTCCCTTATGACTCGGACGAGTATCAAAATTTTGAGCTGAAACAAGCAAGAAGTACATGTCAGATGTCGTAAAGTAAAGAATATGTTATCTATCTTGGTTACAAGTGAAAAACAAAAATATGAATCCCCACAGGCAATTGCAACTCCAGTTTTCAGTTACTTACTTCAAAAGAGATAAAGCAATTTTAGTGGTAAGCTAGGCAATTTCTTGGTTCAGAAATGACAAGTGTTCATTCATACTGCAAAGATCAAAATACTGAAAACATCGTGTAAAGGAAGAGAATTATGAAGATTGCAAACTTTGAGCATAGTAGTCGAGTACAGGAAGGCATTCTTCGTTTCCTAAGAAAAAAAGGAAAGAGCAGCCTCCAACAGCAGTCAGTCCCGGTATATAAGAAATAATAATTAGGAATCTATCAATCAACGCCTTACAGCTTCAATGAACACCACGAATGAGATGAATATCCAGACGAGATTGTTAGTGGAGGAGAGCCAGCAACTTGAAACGAGAAAGAATAAAAGAAAATAGAAAAAAAATTTAAAGAAAATGCTTAACCCAGTCACGGTGTCAAAACACTTACAAAATGAAACATAAATCAAAAGACAACAAAAAATCGATTTAACTTGAAAAAGGGAAAAAGGGAAGACGGAGAAAGGGAAGAAACTAGCACATAGTGATTTTCTTACTATTTATCGCTGGTATAACTATGAAGTCCACCTTTTCCAGCAGCAATACAAAGTGAAAAGCCGATCACGATGATGGGCAAACCTAAATATCGATGAGAGGAAGTTAACGGAACTCAGAATAATCAAGGTAACAATAATCCATAACAAGTAAAATAAAAATACCCCATGACATGACGTGATACATGTGCATCTTTTCAGTGATGTTGTAAACTTTAACAACGAATAGGTATAGGTAAACTCCCTCGACCAGCATCCAAAAGAAAGCGGCAATCAAAAAATACTGCATGAGTACTGCTGCTGTAACACAGGCAGCCTGTAAGAGGAGAAATAGATTGTTATTGTTTATATATATATATATATATATAAACAATATATATATATCACCTTAGTTGTGATTTGAGCACTCTCGCATGGCATCATGTCTGCACTTGGTCCCACAAGTGTAGCGCCCAGACAATGGTTTATTCCAGAGCTTGGCCCAGTGTCTGCACTGCACTGATGAGACCCACATAGGTCGAAACAGTGTGCGCCCTACTTACCTGACGCGGGATTTCATCTTTGCAAGGTAAAGTGTTGGTCCGAAACCTCATCGTGGGCAAAGGATTTGTAAGTATTCTCTCATTTTTCAAATTTATTCGACTGTGCTAAGTACCTGCCGGTG